ATATAGTATCGTCAGGATCAGTATCATCAGTATCAGTATCAGTATCATCATTTTCAGTATCAGTATCATATGTTTCAGGATCAGTATCATCAGTATCAGTATCAGTATTATCAGTATCAGTATCATCAGTATCAGTATCATCTGTATCAGTATCAGCATTATCAGTATCAGTATCAGTGTCATCAGTATCAGTATCGTCAGTATCAGTATCAATATCAGTATCAGTATAAGTATCATTATCAGTATCAGTATCATCAGTTTCAGTATCATCAGTATCAGTATCAGTATCAGTATCATCAGTATCAGTATCAGTATCAGTATAATCATTATCAGTATCATTATCAGAATCAGTATCAGTATGAGTATCAGTATCATCAGTATCAGTATCATCAGTATCAGTATCATTATCAGAATCAGTATCAGTATAAGTATCAGTATCATCAGTATCAGTATCATTATCAGACTCAGTATCAGTTTAAGTATCAGTATCATCAGTATCAGTATCATTATCAGAATCAGTATCAGTATAAGTATCAGTCTATGTATCAGTATCATCAGTATCAGTATCATTATCGTCAGTATCATTATCAGAATCAGTATCAGTATCATCAGTATCAGTATCGTCAGTATCAGTATCAGTATCATCAGTAGCAGTATCATCAGTATCAGTATCAGTATCGTCAGTATCAGTATCAGTATCGGCAGTATCAGTATCATCAGTATCAGTATCAGTATCATCAGTATCACTATAATCAGTATCAGTGTCATCAGTATCAGTATCAGTATCAATATCAGTATCAGTATCATCAGTATCACTATAATCAGTTTCAGTATCGTCAGTATCAGTATCGTCAGGATCAGTATAAGTATCAGTTTTAGTATCAGTATCAGTATCATAATCAGTATCAGTATTATCAGTTTTAGTATCATCAGTATCAGTATCATCAGTATCAGTATCATCAGTATCATTATCGGTATCAGTATCAGTATCAGTATCAGTATCATCAGATGATCACTGATAATACTTATACTGATACTGATACTCATAGTGATACTAATACTGATGATACTGACACTGACGATACTAATACTGATGATACTGATACCGATAATGATACTGATGATACTGATACTGATAATACTGAAACTGATAATACTGATACTGATACTGAAACTGAAACTAATACTGATACTGATACTGATGATACTGATACTGACGATACTGATACTGATTATAGTGATACTGATTATAGTGATACTGATACTGATTATAGTGATAGTGATACTGATACTGACACTGAATTTGATGGACTGATACAGATGATACTGAAACTGATGATACTGATACTGATAATGATACTTTTACTGTTACTGATACTGATACTGATGATACTACTGAAGATACTGATACTGATGTTACATATACTGATGATACTGATGATACTGATTCTGATAATGATACTGATATTGATGATACTGATTCTGATAATGATACTGATACTGATGATACTGATACTAATGATACAGATACTGATGATACTGATGATACTGATATCAGTATCACCAGTATCAGTATCAGTATCAGTATCTGTATCAGTTTTACTATCAGTATCAGTATCATTATCAGAATCAGTATCAGTATCATTATCAGAATCAGTATCAGTATCAGTATCATCAGTATCAGTATCAGTCTCGTCAGTATCAGTATCATCAGTATCACTATAATCAGTATCAGTATCAGTGTCATCAGTATCAGTATCAGTATTAGAATCAGTATCATCAGTATCACTATAATCAGTATCAGTATCGTCAGGATCAGTATCGTCAGTATCAGTTTTAGTATCAGTATCATTATCAGTATCAGTATTATCAGTTTCAGTATCATCAGTATCAGTATCAGTTTCAGTATCATCGGTATCAGTATCATCAGTATCATTATCGGTATCAGTATCAGTATCAGTATCATCAGATGATCACTGATAATACTTATACTGATACTGATACTGATACTGATGATACTGATACTGATACTGACGATACTGATACTGATGATACTGATACTGATGATACTGATACCGATAATGATACTGATGATACTGATACTGATGATATTGATACTGATGATACTGAAACTGATAATACTGATACTGATAATGATACTGAAACTAATACTGATACTGATACTGATGATACTGATACTTACGATACTGATACTGATTATAGTGATACTGATACTGATAATGATACTGATACTAATACTGATACTGATGACACTAATACTGATACTGATTATAGTGATACTGATACTGACACTGAAACTGATGAACTGATACAGATGATACTGAAACTGATGATACTGATACTGATAATGATACTTATACAGTTACTGATACTGATACTGATGATACTACTGATGATACTTATACTGATACTGATACTGATGACACTGATACTGATACTGATCATAGTGATACTGATACTGACACTGAAACTGATGGACTGATACAGGTGATACTGAAACTGATGATACTGATACTGATAATGATACTTATACTGTTACTGATACTGATGATACTACTGATGATACTTATACTGATACTGATAGTGATCATGATACTGATTACACTGATACTGATAGTTATTATAGTGATACTGATGATACTGATACTGATGATACTGATACTGATGATACTGATACTGATATTGAAACTGATGAACTGATACAGATGATGCTGAAACTGATGATACTGATACTGATGATACTTATACTGATGATAGACCTACTGATACTGATTCTGATAATGATACTGATACTGATGAAACTGATACTAATACTAAAGATACTGATACTGATGATACTGATATCAGTATCAGTATCAGTATCATCAGTATCAGTATCTGTATCAGTATCACTATCAGTATCAGTAGCACCAGCACCAGTATCAGTATCATCAGTATCAGTATCAGTATCATTATCAGAATTAGTATCAGTATCAGTATCATCAGTATCAGTATCAGTATCGTCAGTATCAGTATCATCAGTATCAGTATCAGTATCAGTGTCATCAGTATCAGTATCATCAGTATCAGTATAAGTATTAGTATCAGTATCATTATCAGTAACAGTATCATCAGTATCACTATAATCAGTATCAGTATCGTCAGTATCAGTATCAGTATCAGTATCAGTATCATTATCAGTATCAGTATTATCAGTTTCAGTATCATCAGTATCAGTATCATCAGTATCATTATCGGTATCAGTATCAGTATCAGTAACATCAGATGATCACTGATAATAATTATAGTGATACTGATATTGATACTGATACTGATGATACTGATACTGACGATACTGATACTGATGATACTGATACCGATATTGATACTGATGATACTGATACTGATGATATTGATACTGATGATACTGAAACTGATAATACTGATACTGATATCGAAACTGATGAACTGATACAGATGATACTGAAACTGATGATACTGATACTGATGATACTTATACTGATGATACTGATGATACTGATTCTGATAATGATACTGATGATACTGATACTGATATCAGTATCATCAGTATCAGTATCTGTATCACTATCAGTATCAGTATCATTAGTATCAGTATCAGTATCTGTAGCACCAGTATCAGTATCATCAGTATCATCAGTATCAGTATCATCAGTATCTGTATCAGTATCAGTATCAGTATTACTATCAGTATCTGTATCAGTATCAGTATTACTATCAGTATCAGTATCACCAGTATCAGTATCAGTATCATCAGTATCACTATAATCAGTATCAGTATCAGTATCAGTGTCATCAGTATCATCAGTATTAGTATTGTCAGTATCAGGTATACTATTGCTGGGCAGGTATAATGCAGTGGTGTTGGGTGCAAGTTCTTAACAACTTCTTAGATTAAATACGTACTCTGGTTCAAAATCTTGGTCTGATTTTGGACACTTTATGTTTAGCATGCACATTGGCACCAGTTGAAAGGGTGTTTTCGTAAATCAAACATGCTTGAATGTGTTGTAATGTTGTGATATTTCTTTGATATTAAAACCACAAGTCTCAATAATAAAAAACATGACATTATAAAAGTTTATTTTTTAACATTTTTACCTTTAAATAAATAAACTGGGAAGCTTGAACACAATAAACTAGGTCCTCAATATAGCTTAAAAACCACTAATTTTAGCACGTTATTTCCAAATTTTTTCCGGGGGGGACCCTTGGACCCCCCCGCCTTTGCTGGGGGGGGTTACCCCCCCAAAATATATGTCTAGGACCGCCCTTGGACTTGCATTACAGTAAATAACATTTTGTGACTAAAAATTACTGTAGCAAAGGTACATTAGTAAAAAGGTTGGATAACACTAAAAATAATTGTTAAACTGAAAAATTCCAAAAAAATGTCTTTGTTTTTAAAGTAATCAAAACTTTTTAGATAAATGTCTATAACTACAAACCTTTCCAAATTAAATCCGTCATCAAAAGTAGGCCTACACATAAAAAGTAATGGACAAAGTAAAAACAACTACTGTCAATATATAGTATAAGATAAAGTAATACTCAGCAACAGGTCTTGGTTCATACCTTCAGACTTGAGGGGTACCAAGCTGTTGTGAGGAATTGTAATAACTGTGATGTAGCATTATTTGAGCATTCCCTGTGAATGTAATAATCGAATGAGAAACAACCAGTTCAAAATTAACTATAAAGTTTTAAACAAAGTATAGGGACCAATAAGGACATATAATAACAATAAGAAAGGACAATCAGACAGTGTCAAAAATGTCTGCCCCGACTGCTTACTACAGTATACAGTAATACTAAGCAGGAACAGCAGGCAATTCAAAGAGAACTCGATCGTCCGTAGCTGGTCAGATAGCCCAAATTCCAAGGATTGAGTTGATACTGTAGCTAAGATTTAAAATAAATTGTATTTTATTTAGGAAGACATACTTTACTTACTATTCCAGCCAAGATAATTCTGACCAAGATACTGGCAAGGAAGCTGAGAGGAAAGTTCAAGTTCAGCCCTCCCTCCTACCTAGTGAGAACTGGGTACAAGTTCACGGAGACCAGGACCATGTCTAGAGCCTACTACTGTCTGGGCTACTACGCTGCGGCTTACAGAATGGCTATGATGCTGCAATACACACCCGTAGTAACTGGCGGGTAAGATGAAATTTTTGAAAACCTGAGTGATGTTTTGGATCATTTCATGTGTGACTTTTGGAGGTTAAGAACCTGAAGAAGACTCCGTTACAAGCTTGGTTGTTGACAGAGATTAAGTCACTGTACTAAACTCAACTCCCCTAAATATTTACAGTTAATTCTCCCCCTAATTAGGGATTAATACCATAGACTAACCAACACAAGTAGACTTCTCATCCCATTGTAAATTTTGAAGCACGTTTTTTGTGTCTAGTTCATGTATGGTGACACTGGACGCTAGTGTCGACGAAACTTTGTTTCTATTATTTTAGGGTTAATTTACTGTTTACTGTTTGGTTATATAACTAGGGGACAAGTTATTGTTTATGATTAGATCACATTATTTGGTTAAACGAGGTTTTAAATGGCTGTAATAACGGGAAACAAATAGTAAACAAAACACGACCTCTACATAAACCGTACAGAACTAACAATAAAATTGTCTTCAGCTGTTCCATAAGGATGAGAAATCTACTAAGGGAATATGTTTTATCTATGTTAATATTAACTCCTAAATGTTGCCCATATGTGATATACATAGCTGTTGGGGTTCTGCCATTGACCCGTGGAACCGTTGTCCCCTCTTTTGCTATCTTTGGTCTAGGTCTACCCTGGGTATTCCATTTTCCTTCCACCATCTTTGGTGAGCATCCCCTATGAATGTAATAATCGAATGAGAAACAACCAGTTCAAAATTAACTTTGCACATTAAAGTTTTAAACAAAGTATAGGGACCAATAAGGACATATAAGTCTTAGTACCATGACGTCAACCTTACAAGTATGCAAACTTGTTTCTTGTTGAAATAAATTTTTGAATCCTTAGTAAAAATCCTTTAAAGTTCTTTAGAGTAGACAATACATAGGTTATTGGTGGCTAGGACGGTACTCTATTTCTGTCTACAGTACACACTTATGTATGGAGCTTTACGTGACTCAATAGCATCAAAATGGTAATGTGCATCGAGACTAGACAGAATTGTGAATATATGAACCTACAAATCCTTTATGGATTACATATCGGAGTTATGACTAAAAGTTTAAAATTAATAAAATAAACCTTCATGTCCTAGGTATTGGATGGATCAGTTGGCGTTTGGTGTGGTTGCGGCATTCAATGATCAGATGCCTGACCCAACCTCCCCCCTCTACACATGGCCGGGAGATCTGCTAACTCCTGATGTCATATTCTTCCTCAATCTACCTTCACACAATCGCAAAAACATGTTCAAAGAAAACGACACATTAACGTTCAGATCCAGGTGAGTATAAACGTAACTTACTCCAGAGTAAAACCATAATAATTATTGTTGGTGGCAATGGAAAGTAATATCTAGAAGAAAATCTATTTGAACTACAGTATACCAAAAGCTTAGTTGATGGTTTTTTTTCTTTTCTGGGTAAAGTTTGAATCAAAGCCTTATCTTTTAACTTAGACCCAAGTGGACTTTTTCTTCTTTACCTGATTACGATTACATACTACAAACAATTTACTGCCAGATGAATGTATAAAACTCTAACGTACACTACAGTATACACTATACTGCAATACTATTGATGTAACATAACACTATTTGGCTGATTGGTAGAAGCTATTAAATTACAGTAGACCCCCTCTTATCCGGACTCCTCAGGACCGAGGCTAGTCCGGATAACGGTTTATCTGGTTAAACCGACTTCCCCAAAAACTTGTTAAAACGGACCGTTTAAATGCATACTGTATACAGTATTCGACTTATATTTGGGAGAACATTATATTTAGACATGTGATCACTGGTCTAAAATATGTGATATGTCTATATGTGATATGTTATATGTGATCTCTGATATTTGACCTGTGATCTGTGAAGTGTGATCTGTGATGTGTGATCTGTGATATTTGATCTGTGATCTCTGATATGTGATATGTGATCTGTGATGTGTGATCTGTGATCTCTGATCGCTGAACCTTGCATCGTCTCAGCCAAAGTTGAAAAATTGCATCTAAATTAAAGTTTTGACCAATTGTATTACTATATTTCAGACTGATACAGTACTACCGCAACTGGAAAGGGACGCCTCCTATAGTAGAGATCAACAACACCAACGTTCACCGAGACGTCACCAACATCATGATGGGTTACATAGAGAGAAGACTGAACTACTGGAGACATCTAGAGCCTCCACCTCCTATGTATCCGGTCGGCAACGACATGGGCTACAGATAACACATCACTATGAGCAAATAAAAATGATTTCACAAAATTAGGAGATTGTAGAACCCTGTATACAACTCTAGGTATCTTGTAGTTTTCTGCAACCGGGTAAAAACTCCTTAGTCCCTAATCGAAAAAAATCGGTTAATTTTGTTTAGTTTGGATGAGTCAAATTTTGACAGGTTTCCATCTCCATCAGTTGGCTCTGTTGGATGCCATCTATTTGAACCAGCTGTATGAAGTTTATACAAATAGAAAATAGTTAAAAATGATCTGTTCATAGAGGTTGATGATGTCCAAATTCAAATTGTCTTCTAAGTTTATGGTACTACAATAATAATAACATAGTTGATGTGACATTAAAAAACTATAATTAATTGACATAAAACTGAGCTTAATAGTTTAGTTATTTATTATTATTATTTTTTTTTACATGCCTGATCATTGATTCTGTTTTTGGAAATTGTTAATTTCTAGTAGGAAACTTCTGTTGGTGGCATAATGTTCTAGCCCTGAACTGTTTTACACATTACTTCAGGCTGGTCCTAGAGGGTTGGGGTATTATCACATAGATACAATTTATTGGTAAATGGTGTGATTTGAACCCAGGACCTTCAACTCCGAAGCCCTATGCTCTACTACTAGACCAGTTGCTCCCCGAGTATTGTCAATAGTAAAAGATAATATTTTGATTAATGCAAGAAGATCTCTTATCCTATTAAAAAATCTGAAACTCCTTTTCATGTTTTAAGGTATCAATTAAATTTAAGTCGGTACGAGGGATGTAGTGATATCAAATAAGGTATCAATCTTATTTTACAATACATTTTTGTCTATGAAATACATGAAACAGGGTTTGAAATAATATATTGCATAAGCTTTTGAATTTTAGTTTAATTGTGCAAAATATACATAAATAACACTGTTACTGTGTATATTGAGAAATTCATCTTAGAAATCTTAATTTTGTTAAACATGTCATAAAATAAGTACTGAAAATATAGCTTTCAAGATTGGGACAACCAGAGCAAGTATGTTACTCACACTGTTCACCCAAAATAATCTATTTACAGAAGATTTATGGCAATTTGCACAATATACAGCTATTATTTACAACACAGAATATACAGCCATTTACAGTTTATTTGAGATAGAAAGCATTATTAACAATAGTAAGTTCAATAAGCATTTAAATCATAAAAAAAAAACGGTTTACTTTGATTCATATTAAACTTTAAAGTCCCAACAAGTATTAACAATATTTTCAACTATTATAACCATCATAATCACAATTAACTATTAAAACTAGCCCTAACTATAAAAATAACATATATACTTTACAAAAGTATGATTGCCAAACAATGATTAAAACACATACACTAAGCTTAACAATAAACACAAATGACAAAAAGTTGATAAAAACAATTTTCATAATTTGTAGCAATCAGTGTTGGTTGGTTTTCATATTGTTGAAAAAACAAACAAATCATTACTACACAGTATTTGTTTTTAAAATATTTTTTAAATTAAAATTTAAGGTGTACAATAAAATTCACTATTCATACTACAGAAGTCGTAACACTGATTGCAAACCAATATTTAATAAAAATGTGGCACTTAACTAGGATCACAGCCTTGTAAACATATGAAAAGTCACTTTGACACGCCTGACAGGGGTAAGTAGCTTATGTACACAATCACAAAATGAAGGCAGCGGTTCCATCCAAAGCTCAACATAAATAGCTTTGGTCAGAAAGTTACGTTAACATATTTACAAAAGTTTTGTCACATGACCAATTCAGTAGATTTAACATTAAATTACTTTTCTTGTACTTTCTCATTATAACTATGCACATGAACCTAAAAATAAATTACACCACACAAAGACAAACAAAGAATTATGGATTATGTTTAACAAATTTCAATTCATTGCTTATTTTTACATGTAAGTTTTGAATCATGAGAAATAAGATTCTGTTTCTAAAAGAGCTGTTAAACAACCACACAATGTCTCAAAACATCTATTAATCCTTCACCTCCTGCTTGTTTTCTAATATTTTCCTTCCTTCAAGTATATAATCTCTATTCTTGCCTCTTACCATGATTCACTTAGAAATTTTCTCATAATAAGATAATTATTTCTTTGCAAGATTTTCACTCATAATTTTACTTAACTTTGAAATGGCGCTTTAAAAAAAATATAAGTTTCACCCTTCATAATTGCTATTTCACAAACAAGTTTCGTTTATTTTGTTTCTCCATTCTACCCACTAAATTGTAATCCAAATTTTCACTTTCCATTTTAATCGAGGTTAACGAACACTGATGGTCTCCGACAATAGTTTTTAGGAACTAAGCGACAACGACAACACTCTGCCAGTTGTACCGACATATGAGTGGGGGTAGGCGGGGTAGACATCAAGGGGCTGGGGGGCCCCCCTTTTTCTCCAGCAGACGGGGGCAGTTCTCAACAATGAGCAGCAGTATGTCGTCAATGTATCTGCGAAGATGTGTGATCACCTCTTGGGACTCTTTGTAGGCTGAACGCATCTGAAACATTGTAAAATTATAATTTAAAAGATCTAAAATAGTGTAACAGTTCTAGGAAACATATCATTTTTGCTGACGGATGATATAAACGTATAGTTTAATAATGGTCTCCAAAATCACCAAGTCCCAGTATTTTACATCTAAATTGCCATTTAATTGGATTTGAATGTGTGCCTCAAATACTGAAGGACTGTGCTCATCAGGGGTACAAAATTTAATATAAGCAAGTTCTTTCCAACTCTGATCTGTGTTATAGGAATGTTAAAAAAACCACAACAACCCTATTTAGTTGAGGGAGGCATCTAAACATGTTCATAATGATTCCACAAATAAATGTAGAAATTACATGGTGACTGATCAGTGATCATGAAGGCCACGTTGAACATAATTTGGCTCTAGGCAGTCGGGCAGAGTGATATTTTAAATCTTCTGATCTTGATATCGATGTTGCTTAAACACACTATGGTAACTGTTTTAAATCCTTTTGTTTAATATATTAGTCATAATAGTTTGTTTGATGACAAACATATCACAACGCACTACAATTAAAATACCATAATTCATTTTGAAACCACTTCCAAAAAAGGGGGAAACAGTGATATGTTACAGTTTAAGTAGTACAAAGAGGGCCCAATATTAAATTAAAATGTCCCAAAAAAAGCTAAGATACTAAAAACGAATTACTTCAAACATACAAAATCTTTGTTAGTAACAAAAACAAACACTTAGGAATTGTTAATTTGATACGATGCAGTTTAGTAGCACCATGACAAATAGAATTAAATATAAACCGACAGCAGTGGATACGTAGCTACACAGCACTCCTAGCGGAGGACGCCAGAACATATGCTAACGGCAGCACTGCTTCCGGTTTATATTTAATCCTGTTTGTCTATGATAGCACATACAAATGTTCAACATGCAAAAAAGATATATTAGTAGTTGATCCCAAAGTTATTTTTTATCTAAATACACAAGGGTATGAATAACAGCTGTGAAGAAGAGTATAAAAAACAACAACTGGCGTAAATAAAACCCCGCCGATGCACGGGAGCGCTGAGGTCCAACTGTCTCCATGTCACCATCCGACTGACTCAATGTAATGCAAAGACAATTTATAGACTTCTGTTGGGGAAAACTCTGTATCGTGACCACTTCCAAAAAACTAATTAAGCATTTTACTTATGTAGCCTATTATTATTATTATTATTATTATTATTTATTTGTCATGAGAGCCGAAGCCCCCTGACTACATACCCGGTACCTATCCTTTAGGACATACCCGGGCCCCATGATGTAGGCCGAAGCTTAAGCATCAACCTTTAGCACATCATGAGCGGATGACTTAAGGTCATCAGGCTCGCCGGCTGCCGAAGCAGACCCTTCGGAAGGAGGGTTGCCCCTCAATCCTAACCAGGGATTCCGGCTGCTTGTTTAAGCGTCACTCCACCTGGGTTCCACTAGGTCAGGACCTAGAGGTCCATGGTGGAGCGCCCTGACGCATTTAGTGCAAGCAACACTCGGGACCTATCTAATCCCTGACAGGCAGAACCCGCCATCAATAGCCAGGAGGAAGGGGACCGTCAGCACGCTGACGGGGGAAACCCCAACCTCCCATTTACACCACTACCCGATCGAGGCCTTACCCATTGCTGGGAAACCAGAGATAACCAGAGCGATAGATCCCCAGATACCCCTGGCGGGCTCGGACCCAGCACCCGATCTACTTCGTTTGCCCGTCAGACCCAACATCACTGCCAGGCCATCAGGGTTTCCCAAAAGGAGGCAGGTATAGAAGTGGGACCCACCCGGATGAACCTATCCACCAGAGGTGGCGACACCCTTGACTCAATTGAGGTTCCGGGAAGAACCCCCCACACTCAAGATAACCATACCGTCCGTGCTCAGAGACAGGGATTGGTTTGCATAAGTGCCTACAAACCGTTGCCCTCACACTGCGGAAAGTTACGTTGCCCTTGAGTGTCCCCGTGAGCTACGGGTACTTGCCCGTTTTCACCTCCAGGAAAGGTTACTTCCAAAGTCGAGGATTTGCCCACTGAATGCTGGTCGCACACAACAAGCAGGCCGAAGCCCAAAGAACCACAGACACAGGTAGGTTAGAGATTATGATGCACTTCCATCTCTCCTAGAGCTAAACACCCCTCCATCCTGGATAAAGGAATGTCACTGGGACCCAATGCCCAGTCGTCCATGTCTGTGGCCTACTTGAAAATGCCGATACCAACACGGAGCATTTACCTCCCCTCTGGGGGCTAGGTATTTCACCTCCCAGGACGAGGCTACTTCCAAAGTCGAGGATATGCCTCACAAAATGTCAGTCATACACAACAGGTAGGACTCAGTCACAACCACAAGCTACAGGCAGGTGAAAGATCTATGAACTTAATCAACACTAGCAGAGCTTAACACCCCACCACCCTGAATGGAGGGAATGTCACTGGGTACTCTCACTTTGGGTAAACCCAAAGAGGCTGGCTTGTCCAGTCGTCCATAGCTTGTGGTCTACCTGAAGTGCCGGTTCCAACACCGGGCAATTACCTCCCCTCTGGGAGAGCTAGGGTCCGCGTGGTCGCCCAGGCCACGAACCCACGCAAGCGTGGGCCCCCTGCGGTTAATGTACATGCGGTCCTGCGGTAGTATGTAGCCTATACTAGAAACAGAACAACAGATTTAGGTACTGTGTACAGATATTTGATTTTTTTTACTAAATACAGGATTTATGTAATTACTTTAGGCCATGTAGAAAAATTAAAATACCATGAATAATGTAGGTGTAAAGTGGTGTAAACTTGTATTGCATATCGTAGCACAGGTATACCCTATTAGCTTATTAGGCTCAATTTAAAATATACACATTTTATTCTAATTTTTACATTTTATAGTTTACCAACAACTGATGATGTAAAAAAATTACATTTAACATTTTTAAATAGAAAAAATATAGTAACTAAAAAAAGTGTCGAGCAAAACTATTAATGATACTTTTACTTTTCAGCCATTATGCTGCTGACTGTTTATATAAAGCCAATACTCAAAAAGCAGCAAAATAAATGAATACCTACAAGCTCCTTTAGTGCTTTTAGCGCATATATGTAGCCATTAAATATTATTGAAATATTGTAACTCTAAATCTTACTTTTCATACCTATGAGTTAATCTAAACATCACAACAAATGTGTATTATATCGTATTCGTATAAGCCTCTGGCAGGGCCAGATTTTCCTAACGACGTACAGAACAGTCGCTGTGGGCTGAGGTCTGAAGGGGTCTCTACAATATCTTTTCCCTTGAAAAATGAATTTTACCGATAATTGTTAGGGTTTGATTTTTGAGCTGAGCTTTTATTCTCACAATCACCAAAAGCGTCTACAATCAAAAATCACGATCTAGCCCCGATTGTAGCGAAAAAATGAAGGAGTCTCCGCAACCGCAAGTAATGTGGCGATTTCTCCTCCAACGATGTTCATGATTTACATCGGAAGCAGGGGAGATGATAATGATGTTCATGATTTACATCGGAGCAGGGGAGATGATAATGGTGTTCATGATTTACATCGGAGCAGGGGAGATGATAATGATGTTCATGATTTACATGGGAGCAGGGGAGATGATAATGGTGTTTATGATTCTGCCTCGATAACAGGAGATGATGATGACTCTGCAATTGCGGAAGATGTTAATGATTTCATCTCAACCACAGGAGACGTTATTGATATCTTAGCTTATTGCTATTTTGTATTTTGTTGCTTTTTTATATTGGAGATGATAGCTATTTCTCCATGAACGTTGGATATACTCACAATTTTGTCGCAAAAGAGTCACAATGTTCAAAATTCTGCCACGATTGCAGAAGTCGTTCAAACCAATTGCAGTATGTAGGAACTTTTCCAAAAATTTTAAAAACATAATATTTCCAAAGCAACTCTATTATTGAAGTAAACAAGTTTTCTCGCATACCCATGATATTGTTAAAAAATAAAATAAAATAATTATATTAGCTAGTATCCTAGCCTTGAACGTCCATTCACGGATCTGATCTTAGAAAACAAAGGGTCGAGTTTGTCTAGTTGAACCAATACCACGTCCCCCTCAGCTCTAGCGACCGAAAATCGGAATAAGGGGTCTCTCTGGAGTGAGCTGTCAAGAGCCATATAAATTCATAATACTGCCCTGGCACTGCATAAGCTTTAGTATGATTTCACAATCTTACTAAAGTTTAAACTTAAAGTGCTCAACTTTGTAGAAATTGCGAAGTGAAAGGTTATCGACAGCGATAAAGAGAATCACATGGCACAACCAACATTAGAATAACAACATGGGGAGGGAATGTTAGTTTGAGACACACAAGTAATTTGGAATTGTCCCAGTGAGCATGCAACAACATGCCACATACCTTCTTGTCTTCATCTTTATCACTCAGGGGCTGTGAAAAAATACCCACAGTTAAACTAAGTTATGCCTCACCAACTTGTAGTTAACTTAGTTAAGCAATTACTAACCAAATGGTAGTGATTGATTATTATTTTGTTAAAAAGCTTTTCTATCTGAATACTAATATTCAAGCAATATTTATTAAGTTAATGGAAATGATATAACATAAACATCAGTCTGGTAACGGCTCTACAAATTATAGTAAATAGTTTCAATAGTTTGGGTTTCAATAACATTAGTAAGTAGTGATTTTTGTATAGTTCAGTGTCATCAATATGCAGTTTCAACCTAGCGTGGTACTCAAAACAGGTGTCATTAATTTATTACAAAAAAAAAAAAAAAAAAAAAAAAAAAAACCGAAAGGTGGAGTGTAAAAAAATGGATTTGGACTTAGTTCAGGTAGTTTTGTAAAAATAAACAATAAAATGATTAGTGAAGATCATGTCTCAGTCAGTAAATGAAATTTAAAGTGATTTAATTGGGTGTTTGTGGCAATTCGAAGGTGGTTGCACATTTTAGTGCTGTAATTGATCATGTATCACAATTGGTCTATTCTTATACTTTAGTGATTCACTCCCTGATTTGCCTAATATTTCCACGCACAAGCTTGAACCTTATAAGAAAATATTTTATAAACGTGTTCCTTACCAGGCCACAAACTCTTGCCTATCTCTGGTCATGTGACACGTGGGAGTGAATGTGTTAAATGATATGTCAAGAAGTTACTGCTAGCTTGTTCTAATAACCTTTGATACATGAATACTAATCTTTAACGAAAATCTCTTAAATGTTTGACAATAATGAGACAAGTTACTGTAATAAAGTTTTGACTTACATCATCTTGAGTCATATCATCCAGCTCAGCAGCTAGACTGTGACCTTGAGAGGCTGCTGATAAGAGGTTACGACCTTCCTCAACCCCTCGTGATAACAACACCACTTGCAGCTCCTCATGGGCCTCTTGTAGACCTACAAAAGAATCAAAAATTGCAACTGATTGTTGTACAGTAAAACGGTTATCATCTTTGTGTAGAGGTAATTTGTCTGTGGTCGACGTAATGATTCTGCTGAACTACTAGAATCAAGGCATTTTTGTTGAAAAAAATATGGAAATGGGATAAAAGCTGAAATTTGAAAATTAACTGCCTTCTTTAAAAATGATTCTCATTAACAAGTTCGCTGCTGAAAACCTTAACACAGGTGCTCGAAAACTGCGGCAAGGCTCGGCGCGCTACTGAATCAGCGATCCCAATTGGCATTCAAATATCTCAGCAAAACCAATCACAAAAGAGCAGTGGTGATTGTTCTGCGTTACCCCGAAAGTGGACGTAGTTCACTTAGTTCTCGCAGTTCAACACCCAAAGGTAGCAGCACTGCCTGCATCAATAACCAGTGTCTTTGTAATATGGCTCGAATAGAGAAAATCTCCGAAACCGGGAAAAAGCATCGCCAGACAGGATTTTACAGGAATTTTTAGTACCAACCTGGAAAAAAATAAAGCTCGTATTCTAAGCTACAGCCTGGCAACAATAACAGTGTCCCCGGCCGAGTGCTGGGCTCAGACAGACGCAATATTTGGCAGGGAAGCACACTACTGCTATAGCAGTGGGGCGTGTGCAGTGCTAGTGCCGCACTACTGCTATAGCAGTAGGCCGCAGCGAACAAGTTAATTGTGGTTTTAAGTTTTTAAAATTCTTTTCGTAGGCAATTCAGATAATTGCCGATATGATAGTTGGAGTTCGGATCATTGGAGTTCTACTGTAGTGTAATACCATGAGACCTTTCTAAGTTTTCTCACCCTAATATCATTTTCTACTCTCTTCTCCCACCCCTTGGGAAGTAACAGATACTCACTTCTGTGTTCCTGCCGCAGAGAGTCCAGTTGCTCCTGGAGCTGGGTCTGTGGCTCTCTGGAGTGTTGGTTGAGCTCCTGTAGTGTCGTCACTTCTCTCCTCAACCTCTCCACCTCCTGTGTCAACTCCTCCACCAGCTGAAACGCATAACTATTACTGACTGTACCTTTTGGTAAATTCTATTTCCTTCTTGGGAAGGGACATGAGAGGATTTTTCTCCAAGCAAAAAATGCAGTTTTAATAATTTTTTGAATTGTTAGCATCCAACAATCCTATATTCTTGCAAATCGCAATAATGACAAACGAAACCAATTTCAGTGTTCATTGCACTGTTTACTGAACTATATTCCTTTTTTATAAAAAATAAGCTACGGTTGGTCCATGAAGATAGGATGTCAACTCCAGCATCCAAAATTCGATGTTGTATGCACTTTGTCCTTTAAAAACTAATCGAATGTACATTGCTATAGAATAAAGGTTCTGATTTTTCAGTACTGCCACAAACCAGGAATGACTATCAAGAAGTTTTAAGTGTCACAGGTATTAGAATAGGAATATTAGAATTTGAAGGTAGAACCCCTAATATGTGTTTTTATAACATACTTTTTTATTATTTGTTGTGTGTGTTTCTATGCCAGTGGCATCTTTTACATTTTGAAAGGGGTTGGTCCAAACACTGAACGTTGACCTTTTTGTTAGATAGCGTCATACATTCATAACCCAATGACAAATGACACCTGAGTCTAGAAACGATCTCGCTTGGGATCGAAACAGGTACTTTCAGATTTGAAGGCGAACAATACCCAGACAAGTTTAATGCATAAGCCATGAATAAAAAATTACTAAAGGAAAAATGTACACATTTTGATTCTTCCTATTGAACCGGTGTGAGTTCAGTTTACCTGTTGGTTGGCCTGCACACACTCCTTCTGCCTCCTCTCCTGGTCCTTGAGAGAGTGTACCTCCTCTTGCAGACAGCAGACGACGCTCTGACTCTCACCGAGCCGTTCCTCCACCTCCGCCTTCTCAGTCCGTAGCTTCTCAGTCTGCGAGCGACACCGAGTAGCTTCCTCCTTCAGTGAGCTGTTCTCTAGCTCCAGTGTTTGTAACCTGCAACATTGTGTTGGTTAATTCATGATATTATATGGAGAGACGTTTACAAAGCTCTAATATAGAGGGTCTTATTTATACTTTTTGTATTTTATTTAAAAGTAACACTATATCTTTCCCAAATCCTTGTATAGATACCAAATAACTAGCTAATCCTTGTTCTAAAATATTTTTTCATGAATGTACAACTGAATTCATAGTTTTGTAACCGTAATGTTGATGCCCGAGCCGGGTATTGTCACAGTTTGGGTGGCTACTTCCTCATTTTTCATTACAGTCGCTGGATTGAACACTAAAGAGTAATTGGGAGCACAATAGTGATAAGAATTATTCTTTAATAGAAATTAAAATGGAACAATGCACAATATTGTGGTTTCCCCAAACAGATCTCAATTATCTAAATTTCACACAAATCAGACAACATTTACATTCTTTTATTTGTAACAACTTTGCCAAAAACTAAATTTAAATAAATCTTAAAAATAATTTTTTTTAAATATTTTCAAACAAAGTTTTCACTTTTTATTAGTGATGAATCAAAATAACACACAGTAAATATTTACAACTTAAATCTACAGTGTAGACAAGTTTCTGTTAAAACTAAACAATACAATTATGTAGGACACATTTTATAGCTCTATTAATTAGGAGTGAAACTATAATGACCTATAGTTGTCTCATAATTGCATCACTATTCATCACTATGAACCTTGGAGTATGACCATAACTTCTGAGCAAATAAATAATTAAAACCTGGTTATCTATTCAAATGTACTTTTCATACTGACCATTCTATCATGACAATAAGTCCATACTTCTTTTTTGACATAGTTGCGTTGACAGTTGAACTGGTGTGAAAAATTAAGAGACCGAACGGTTGTATGGTAGAACCAACAATGACTAATAGAGTATGTTTTGTAATAACCTTCAGTCAAGGTTGTCAATTAATTTACAATACCAATTGTCAATAAAATGTGCATACAGGGGCAATATTTAATAGAAATTACACAAAAGGACCTTACTGTGCTTGTTTAAGCATATCTTAATCTTCCTTTTAATATTGAATAGAATAGTACGAATATTAAGTTCATACATTCAAAAAAGACTTTTTGGAAAAACAATAATAACCCTACTGCATTAAAAAAATGTAGAATTGCTTTGATCAACCAAATTTTTAACGAAATCGGAAAGCGCCCTCCTTGTAGAAACCTATAGAAAAGGCGAGGAAATTTAATTTAATTGTTGTTTAACGGCACTGTTTTGAACCAACTTCTATACACAAAACACGCCTTTTCTTTCTTTTTCGTAGCTATTTAAATTAAACGGTTTCCATTAAATCAAGAAGCCAAGGCAAAACATAACAACCTGTTTCCATTTTTGGCATTTAGCATTGACAACAGATGTTTAATCAAGACAAACAGAAAAACTACCTGTAAAGTTTACAAGCATTTTTTTTTTCTTGAACACTTGGTAACGGTGGATGGCTTGGGTGGAAAATAACAAGATGTATCTTCATTTTGAGCTGCACGAGGTGTATTGCTAAATTTGATTAATCTGATGACCCAAAAGATTATGTCTTCTACGACATTATATTCATGAAATCACATGTTTGTGTTGATGAGATATTGACCAAACGTAATGAATGGGAATGATAAAATATATAAAGAGTCACCTGATGGCACAGTTCTCCACCTGCAGTTGTTTCTCTCTGTCCACTCTGGCCACCAACTCTCTGTGTCTCCTCTCCTCCTCTGCCAACCTCTCTTCGGACCTCAGCTCTACCTCTCTCAGCTGTTCCTCCAACATCAGGACCCTGCAACAAATCATGTGAGAAACAATCTCAGCAAGTATACAATACACTACGATACAACCACCAACTCTCTGTGTCTCCTCTCCTCCTCTGCCAACCTCTCCTCAGACCTCAGCTCTACCTCTCTCAGCTGTTCCTCCAACATCAGGACCCTGCAACAAATCATGTGAGAAACAATCTTAGCAAGTATACAATACACTACGATACAACCACCAACTCTCTGTGTCTCCTCTCCTCCTCTGCCAACCTCTCCTCGGACCTCAGCTCTACCTCTCTCAGCTGTTCCTCCAACATCAAAACAACCTCAGCAAGTAAACAATACACTACAATACAACCACCAACTCCCTGTGTCTCCTCTCCTCCTCAGCCAACCTCTCCTTGGACCTCAGCTCTACCTCTCTCAGCTGTTCCTCCAACATCAGGACCCTGCAACAAATCATGTGAGAAACAACCTCAGCAAGTATACAATACACTACGATACAACCACCAACTTTCTGTGTCTCCTCTCCTCCTCAGCCAACCTCTCCTTGGACCTCAGCTCTACCTCTCTCAGCTGTTCCTCCAACATCAGGACCCTGCAACAAATCATGTGAGAAACAACCTCAGCAAGTATACAATACACTACGATACAACCACCAACTCTCTGTGTCTCCTCTCCTCCTCTGCCAACCTCTCCTCGGACCTCAGCTCTACCTCTCTCAGCTGTTCCTCCAACATCAGGACCCTGCAACAAATCATGTGAGAAACAACCTCAGCAAGTATACAGTACACTACGATACAACCACCAACTCTCTGTGTCTCCTCTCCTCCTCAGCCAACCTCTCCTCGGACCTCAGCTCTACCTCTCTCAGCTGTTCCTCCAACATCAGGACCCTGCAACAAATCATGTGAGAAACAACCTCAGCAAGTATACAATACACTACGATACAACCACCAACTCCCTGTCTCCTCTCCTCCTCTGCCAACCTCTCCTCGGACCTCAGCTCTACCTCTCTCAGCTGTTCCTCCAACATCAGGACCCTGCAACAAATCATGTGAGAAACAACCTGAGCTAGTATACAATACACTACGATACAACAACAGACTCTTTGTGTCTCCTCTCTCCTCAGACCTCAGCTCTACTCTCTCCGCTGCTCCTCCAACATCAGGATCCTGCAACAAATCATGTGAGAAACAACCTCAGCAAGTATACAATACACTACGATACAACCACCAACTCTCTGTGTCTCCTCTCCTCCTCAGCCAACCAGATCAACAACTGCTGGGTTCATTCCTTTGAATCAGCCTGTTATTCAATTTATTTTGTATTGGGTTTTCTGTGTGTTTTTGTTTTTACCAATGTACTTTGGATCATAATCTTCAGAATAGTCAGACAATTATCAAAAAATAATTTACTAATATTCTACTAATGAATTTTATAAGTACAAATAATATAATTACTACCTACCATAATAGTGTATGAGTAAAAAAAAAAACCTCAGTGAAACCTTTCCCAAAGTATATAAAACCCCCCAGACAAGAAACTTCTTACCCATACACCTAACAAAGTTGTTGTCACAACATTCACCAAGACAGCTTCAATTCAAGACTAAGAAAAATCAATGGGATTAAATGGCCTCACGTGGAGTTGCATGTGTCAGCAAAACTGATGAATTAGTTCACCTTTTCGTGTTATTTCACGCACAACTTGCAAAATGTCACACATATTTCACTAGGCACTCCCTAATAACAAGTTTATTAAAACAATGTTGTCAACCAAAATTTAATGTTCATTGTGTTATGATTTTGATTGGTACCTCTAATAAATTAGAGCTCCTTGCGAAGTTCTATTTAGACAATGTAGAAGTCAAAACGTGCCTGTGGGATGTTTATTTTGAAAAAAGCCAAGGCATATACAAAATAACTTTACCTACGACCGTTTTTTAAAGTAGCAGTACAGTTCTTAGAATTGAAAAGTATCTCATAACAGCATTGTTTACTTACATAACAGCAAAGTTTTACTCATAACAACACGGGTAACGGACCAATGAGGTTCAAGGATTGAGAGAGTAGAAGTAAAATTGTAATGATTCCAAATTTAGCTAATCAGCTGTTCAGGCCAATTTAATTGTTGATTGGTGCAATTAGTGTTTGATACAATGTTTTGTTGCATCACTGTCAGTGGCAATGAGAGGTTATAAACGAAAACATAACCTCTTTTAGAATTTATGAGGTAGTGATTTTTAGTAATTAAAACAATGCCGTAGGTAAAGTAGTGTACGCAACTCGCGTAAATACTGTTAACGACACTCGTAGAAGTTTTTAAGGCACTCGCCAAGGCTCGTACCTTCAATTTTCTACTTGTGTCGTTAACACTATCTTACGCAATCGTTGCGTAAACTACTATAACGTATTCATTCCATTTTAGTTTGGTACCATACATTATACAGTATTTTTAAAATGAGATCTTTGTAATTAGAATGATTCATTTTTACCCCGATAAGTCTAACATCTTGATAATGTAAACTCTTGATTATTCAAATTTATTTGCCTGGCCAACCAAGAGTCTACTGTACCTTCTTTTATGTGGGTAGATTTTGTCGCTTAGGCCTACAGTAAAATTTGTTTGGTCGAAAAAGTTTAGTTCATGTCAGTATTTACGAATTGGCACACATATCACAAGTTGTCACTCTTTTGAACACACTTGTTTACTCACAGTCAGGTGATCTCCCATTTCCGTCAGTCTGCTCTTGGTGTAATTTATCACTGTTATTACACCTTTCTCTCAAGTCTCTCTCACATAGATACTATAATGAAAGTCAACTGACATCTAAGAGTATGAATCACATTGTGATTGTGACGTGATATCCTAGCTTGATTCATTTCCTCTTCCTGGATTTGCATTGTATTGGTTAAGATGGGGACTTGACTGGGTGTATTTTAGCCCAAATATGAGTGAAAGTATGAGTGAGATGAATTGTGTAGCTTTATAAGGAGGGCTAGCTGTTTCTTAAGCCAAAACCATTTATTAAAAGCCCAACTGGAAATTTTCAGCCAAACAACAAAACATTGAAATTGTTCTTCATCTACAGTCTTACTTTTAATCTTCATCCCAACCCTGTTCATCTAAGGACAGCTGGGTCCAGTTTCCACCATGAAAGTTACCTGATTTTTGTTAGGATCACATTGGAAACTTTGACTGTTAGACGAGCACTTTAAGCTGGGTTTCCCTAGGCGTGAAAGCAAAGTGTGGAGAGCAGACTAGCGATTTCAGTGGCAGTCTTCTCCGCCCTCTGCTTCTGTGACTAGGAAACCCAACATTAACTCAGCTACCAAGGAATTTGAAACATCACACTCACAAAAAGCTACCGGCAAAAATTTTATAGGTAACTATGCTTGTGACGGCACAAGAACAATAAAACCCTTTGTCGCTGTGTGGCTGGGACTAAATATGATAAGAAATGATGATGAAGTATTTACCTGGCCTGTAGAGTAGCATTGTCCTGCTTGGCGCGGGTGTAACGCTCGTCAGTATGACTCTGGTTGTCTGCTAACACGCTCATCTGCTGTTGTAGCATCTGCACCTGCAACAAACAAACCATTGGTGAGACTTTTTTTGTATACCTATTCATTTTGTCTCAGCCATAGGCTTACTATTCTGGGCTCAATTTCAAGGGGAAATGAAATCGCTGTAAAATGGTGTAACCGTTGAGAGGAAATAAATAAATAAATCACGGGACTTGGGGAAATGTTCTGACCTTATGTGATTGATTTTGTAAAGTAAAATTATTGTTGTTTAGTTTAAAATTAAATAAATTTAAGGAACCATTAGTGGATTTTTGACGTTAGCCTTTTATCAGCTGGGGATTGCTGGCAGACTTTTCACCATTCCTTTGGAAGCATCCTCAGTGGCTAGGAAAAGATTGAGTCAGTCTTTGCTGTGAATGCCTCTTCATAGCTTTTTCACACCCACTATTTGCCAATACAATGATTCCACTATTTACCAATACAAAATTATCAGCAGTAAAAATTGTAAAATCTGAGGTTTTGAGAAATACAAATGTATCATTGCAAATTCTTAATTCACTGCGGAAACTACCATTCCAGACACTAGGTTGAATAAATCTATTAGTTAACTAGTTTTACATACAGGTAAAGTTATAACTTTTTTCAAAAATTTACTTATTTAACCCTTTCAGTGCTATGCAACGATATATCGTTGTGCGTCTTTTACCCGAAAAGTGCTATGGAACGATATATCGTTGTTCGCTTTTCGTCCGATGCTAAGCTAAGCGCGACGATGCCGGCGCGATTTTCTATTATGTGAGTTTAAATAGGCATATAGATTTATTCGGTTGTTGTTTCGAAACAGTGATGGTTTTCTTTCGATTACTCATACGACCGAGGCCCAATATATCGTCCCTTAGCACTTTTGAGAAAAAATTTTTTTTACTGATTTTTTTACTCGCACCCTAGACTTTGCCCCGTGGCAAGCCTACCACTTTTCGGATGCAATAAGTAAATAACTCTAGCATTTTTTGGAAAATTACAAAAAAATATTCTAGCATTGAAAGGGTTAAACAATTTGCAGATAGTAGCCAACAGAAATTAAAAGAAATCACCAGAAAATGACACTGATGACAATAACCTTCACAACTCTAAGTGATGATCATATTGACAGCCAAACAGGCCATGGTCACATAAACTGTCAATTGATACCTCAGTGTCAGTGTCACTGTACTTATAAAATGGTTCTATCAACTTGACACAGACCACAATTTTGGTTCGTCACAAAACATGTTTGTGTATTGGATATACTATAAGGTATATCACGTAAGTTGTTCTTGTAGATGTTTGTACAAAACTTTAAAAATGTGTACCGGTACTGTAACATTTTAATATATGGTTATTTAGCTATGTTTATTATTTGAAAGCTTATGGTAAGTAAAGCTACATCCGCTTGTTAAAACATGCATTGGGATTGGGAAATACCCTGTTTTGAGTAGTACTATTAATTAAAAATATTAAAACACCAATCTAAAAGAAATACTTTGGTCCAATTATATTAGATTGACATTTAGATAGTCTCATATCAGTTGAATGAGGTATGACTCATACAATGGAAAGATTCCATTTTGATCCAAGCCAAAATAAGTTAAAATAAGCTAAAATGTTTATTATCTCTTACTAATGTCTTACTATAAAATTGGATACCTTGTGGGGATATTCTGATTGATGCTGTTCTATAAATGCTGTTACAGTATTTCAAAGCATTTGTTATGACACAAGGTACGGTACATGATAGATTTTTCTCTCTACACTAAAGGTTTTTAAAGACTAATACGGAACTCCCATACACATTCTCTTCCACTAGCCCAGACTTACATGGCCGGCCAGATCCTCGTACCACACTTGCACATGGTGTTTCTTGAAGCCGTTCTTCCTCGGCCGTACCGGAGGACTGAAGAGGTCTACACTCTCGTCGTATACTCCACTGTGGAACTCCTCGTTGCCGTTACTGTCGCGGTCGCGGTACTGGGAGCCCACAAACTCAAACTGGCCTTCCCACATGTCAAATTCCAACTCCGGACCTGCCTCATCTTCACTAACACTCATCGTATTTCACTCATCACTCGCATGACGTCACTCGCTTCACTCTATTGTCACTCCCACTCCTAATTGCAAAGGTTGATTGAGGTCAAGAGCTCAAGTGGTCAATTGCGATGGCGAATTTAGACCTATTTTATTGTATGAAAGTATTGAAATGATTTCATATTTATTTCATTCATCTACAGACATTTTGACCAAAAGGTCAAAGGTAAATATAGGAAATTATGGTGTTTGTACTGTCAAATCTAAAATTGTCATTAAAATCATAATTATGGCAAACATCAACTGCACCAATTCATCACTTAAGATCTCAGAGACTCTACTCATGTTATGTTGTATTATAAGGAGAGTGTTTTTAAAACTAACTGTGTAGTGTGTATGCTATATTTTTAAAATCGCCAATGAATGAATTGGTATTGTGATAGCCTTTTTGGAGAAGCAAGTATGCGAATGTATTAATTACAGAATTACAAAAACATTAAGTCCTACCTTATCGACAAAGGTGTGTTAGCTACTGAAATTAAATCGTTCAATTTTCCCATTAAAGAAGCAAAGTATAATTTAAATGAAAGAAATTATTTTATTTCTATCCCAGCAGTTCTCTATACTTCTATTACACTACGGATTACATGATACTAAATTTATTGTAAATTTAAACAAAATGGCGAAGTATATTTTAAAGATATTTAAACATCCTAAATTAGTATATCAAATCAAATATTAAATTCAATAATCTAGATAATATAAAGTCACAGCTAGACACATGTATGCAGTAGTTGCAAGCCACCTTCATAAGCTAGGTTAAGTTTTTTTGTGTAATGGAAATAAAATATAAGAGAAAAGAAAATTATTAAATCTTTAAAGCATTTGTTTGGTATTAAAGCTTTAAAAACTTGTTTATTAAGTTTTGGATTTATTTCCTATTTTTGCACACTTAAGAAATTTACATTATTGATAGAAGCAAGTTTTTAACATCTTTTACGTGGATATTGCATCCGACCAATTATTTATGAGTTACAACGAGTTTAGTGAGTCGTTTTATTAAGTATTTTGATGGATGAAATTGTCTGGAATTTTATACACAATATCTATATTTTGAAATGTGAATTTAACATTTCAAACTGTGGATATTGTGTATCAAATACCAGACCATTTCATCCATCAAAGTCTAGTAGCCTGTTAGCCTGTTAAAATAGTTAACAATTAACACGATGCAAGAAAGTAACTGGTTAAAATTAAGTAATTTATAATGAAGGAAGTGTAAGTGTTGAACCAACATTGTGTTAACTTTCGAGGTCAAACAGTTTGCAGTTAAATATTGGCTTAAGCTATCTTTGAGTTGAGATAAGAGTGATATCTGGTAACACAGCACGTTGTCGTTTAAACTTTGCGACTGGCAGAAACCAACATGAATCACACACAACTACGACTGCACATACAAATTACATATCTCGCACTATAAACTTTAAATTGAAACCATGTGAAAGCGTCATGAAAAAGACTAAAATAGAATTGAAATGTAATACTACGTGACTTCAAGTATAAAAAAATATAAAAAATCAAAGACTATAATTCGAAATAATGTTACTTGTCCATTGACTGTTTCTACTTAATAAACATGAAATCTGAGATGACACGGACGAGCAGTTGTTAACGTGTTTAAAACCTAAATCACAACGCATATATACACATTTAATGCAAAAATAAACTTCTATGTGGATATGATTTGGATATACTAGAGTATGACAATGCCAGCATCCCTAAGCAAACGTTCGGGGTAACCATTTTCAAAAAAGGAAATACAAATAGACCCAAGTTAAGTAACTATTTTGTGCACTGTACACAGTGTACAATACAAACCTAGACAAACTACATTTGTAAAGTACATTATTAAGACAAATACGAAACATTTTCATCCAACTCAACGTGAAATCCGAAACACCCACAGTAAAAATTCCAAATTGCCGACCCAAACCGATTCGGACGAAACAAACCACACTGACCGAGTACAAACAAGCGACTGGATTGTGCGATGTGCGATGATGAAGAGACCAACATGGCGGCTATCTGATAAGACGGGCACGAGGCTGGCGAATGACCAACAGTCCGACACTGACCAGACAATGCAAACAGCAAACAGCGAGGGACCCATACTGCACCCTTGTGGAACACCACGTGCACCGTTGTACAAGCGACATGTGCCAAGATACTAGAGTAGGTAAATGTTGAAGCAAATATTACTTTTTTATTTGTAATTGAGTTTTAACAAGTTTCCTTCAGATAATATGTTTTTAGCCAGAACCACGTGTTTGGATGGATGATAGGATGAAATATCACTTTTCACTATAGTCCTTTCCAGCAGAAACGTTGATAATAAAACCGATGCCTTGCATCCTTTTCATGCAAGGCTGTTCAGCCGTCTAACTGACCGTAGATTTAATTGGCAACTTCAACATAAGATCGGCATGTCTTTTTCACGGTGTATTATACAGTAGAGTAGTTTGCGTTTCAACCATGGAATATTTTCAATTAATACAACGAACATCTATTTGCCCCACGTTCTTCATTAGGAGAGAAGTCTGATTGAATTTCACACCTCACGTAGAATATCAACAATCGCGGTTGCTCCAACAATGATGTTGCAATTGTGCAGTATCAATTGATCAATTGTACGTCAGCTGTGTGATCTTCCTGATACAAACAGCTGATTTTCCAGCTGGTTGGTCGGTGACCGCTTGATCACAATATCCGCCTCGCCCTTCCACTTCCGCACATTACCTGACAGAGATTCTAACATGAACACTGAACACTCAACGTTGTGCTGAGTAAATGACAATCTTGCTTTGCTCTCTCATGTCAAAGTTTGGTCACAGACAAAAGAAGCAAAGACTCTTGTCAGTAAAAAATATTTCGACGAAAAGAAACTCATGTTGTGGCTTACAATGTTGTATAATGTGCACTCAGTGAGGTAAAA